ACAATAATAATATTTAAACTATCTGTTTTTGTTTGCTTTGTTAATTAATATTTTACACCTTTAACATATATGTATCACATTGAAAAAAAAAGTTCATAATTTAAAAAAAAACACGTTACTTCATTTGTAAATAGCTTTGCAATGCTTTGTACCAGAATAATAATTATAGTGTCATTTTAAATAAATTGCAAAGGACAAGGGCAAATTACAGCACAAAATGCACACTTTTTATGTGCAGTAACACTATTTATTTTTAAACTAAAACTGCTTAAAAAAAGAAAAAGTGTGTTTAGTTTTGTTATGTTTAATTGTCTAAAAATTGCAAGCAAAAAAAATCATTAATGCAAGACAATATTCACAAAAAGAAAGCCTTATTCTTAAAAAACAATGTATGTATCAGGTTATCTTAGGTAATGACAAAGTTATCGCCGAATAAACAAGTGCTTATCAGAAATGTAAAATTTGCTCTGGTCCATAAAGGGGCGAACAGGTGTGAGAGGTGAAGGGGTTAATTATGTGTTTCTTAGCTAAGAGAGTCTTTCCTTTTTATACATTGTTTGTATTGTGCATGTTTTTGTATTGGAGAATAATATTGGGGGACTGAGTGTAAAATAAGATGTGTACATACAGATTGATAATGATACTAATTAGACAGGTGTAAGGATATTACAACAAAGCAGGACATGACTATACACTGTACTACTATAATGAATATGTACTTGTCCTCTACCTGGAGTTTTAAAAAATGGAGGCAAAAGTCCACATACATTTAGTAACAAACTGTTTTGTTTACTAGAATATAAAAACAAAAGGATGCAAAGTCCAGCTGTGCTCACCATAGCTATTATGAAAACACACATGGACAAAGAAAGGTGAAGACCAGAGAGGCCAAAAGTTTTTTCCCTATGTCCATGCACATGTCATTCTTTTGCCCCCAAAGAGCTCAGCAGGGAGCATGCAGTAAAGAATTCAAAGCCACAGGGATGTTATTTACAGAACCACAAGATCTGTCTAATTGTAAACAGATTTATCCCGCCTTTCTCTCATGAGTGATGGTGTGGTAGAGTGTGTGATCCAGATTGCCCAAGTATTCTTGCACTGATACGTAATGTCTAGGATAATGGTAGACCCATCTACACAGATGGTACATCTTGCCTTGTAAACTGACTCACTCCTGTGAGTGTTGTCACCATAAAACTGGTAATGGAAAAAGCACTTCTCCTTTTATTAATTGTGCATCTTTATTTTCTGATTCCATACAGTTTCTTCTGTTTCGGTCACGTATGCTGTTGCAAATCTACCCAGTTTTACACAGATTTATGTCTCTCTTCAGAAGGCAGAAAAATATGGAATTAATAATACATTTCCGCTTTATCTATTACCCAAATGTAGACATCATTTTCAGAAATAATGAAGTGGCTATTAAGAAAAGGGCAATGAAAATGAAACATACTGTATTATTTATTTTTTATTTACCTAATAAAAAGCAGACACAACTCCATTCCCTATTTCTTACCTTTAGAATAGAACTTTGGTCAGTACCTAAACCATCCCCAGAATTTTACCTATATATGCGGCTTTTTATCATTTTATATAAGCTTGTGATGAATGTAGTAAGGAGAGTGGAATTTGGCAAGTATGAGATTGTGGTTAGAAAAAGTAACTTTCATTGCCTTTCCATGAAAACATTGATGCAGCTGGCACAGTGAACGTGTATTGTGGCATTCTGCTAAGAAATCTATATAGTAAAACAAATCATAGGAGCTTGGTGAGTTTAAAATATATAACATATGTATGTGTTTCGGTCTGATACCTTGCTATAAACTTGAGATCTGCCACCTCTCCTCCTTAGAGAGTGATTTTATATAAACACTTAAAGTACTACATCCCTAAAAACTTGGTTGTGATTTAGGACTGAGCATAAATTAAATTTTGTAAATACTGCATTTTCCTTACAGCTTCTAAAACATATGAATGGTATAGACAGAAAATCCAGTGGAAAAAATGTTTATCAGTTTTGGTAAAATGTACAAATTTTTTATGGTAAAGAATATACATTAGGCTAGAGAAAGAACAGCGATTAGTGCAAGCAACACTGTTGCTTCTTGATTAATGGGCTGAGAAACTTAGAAGTGAGGTTCATGAAGGCTACCCAATTGCTGATAAAACCTAAGAGTAGCTAGGTGGAATGTATGACTCTATGGCTATGGTGTACATTACACAAACATTATGGTTAGTGAATAATCATACATGATCACACAATTCTCCATATGTGTGTAAATAATGACTACTACATGCTACTAATAATAGCTGTGTAAGTTTTACCGTAGATATACATTTGTGCCATCTGTGTAGCAATTGGTCGGTTCTCTAATAATTTCTAGCAACTATAGAAGCACAATCAAACTACTGAAAATTGCCTGTGAGTTATTGCTGATTTCCATCAACTAAGCAAAAATGCTTTTATTTTATATTTATTGCACAAGATTGTGTATTCTTTGCAAGGTAAAGCTTCACTGCAATCACTAAGCAACAAGTGCACAATTTTTTTTTTTTTAAAGAAAAAATTGAAAGAGTTTAACCCCTTCCCGCCACCTCCCAGCCCTTTAAAAGGTTCTAAAGTTGGAGGCGGGTATTCCGATCATGTGACCTCTGTGATTGGCAGTCACAGCGGTCACATGATCAAACAGCAAGTATGCAGTGGGAGCTTTTCGGTACCTGCTAGTAACTGTGCTGGGAGCTCTCAGCTATCTCAGCACTGCAAAATGTTTACATAGGGATGCATAAATGCATAGTGAAAACCCACCCGCCAAGAGGCCGCATATATGCAAATGGCAGGCAGGAACTGGTTAAAAAGAGATTAAAAAGCAACACTTAGCACAGTTGATTGTAATCAGTATAATAATCATATATAAAATATAGTAAGATGTTATCATGCTATAAGATTATTTAACATGAGTCTGAAATGCAATTACCTCATAAGATAGGCGGACTGAGGGTAAAATACACCAAAACCAACTCTTTGTTATTTTTTTTTCCTGTGTTTTTTTAATTTATGCTCACTGTCATTTTTGTTTGTCCATAACCAAGTAGGAAAAATATGATATAACCCATTAAATTATATCTACATGAGGGCAAGGGCAACTTATATTTGGTGAATGTATTTGGCTATGCTATGCTTAACTGATTGTTATTGTGCATAATACATTTTTGCTGTCATCCGTGTATGGTATAAAACACAAACCACCCATAATGAACAAAACCATTTTCTCGGCCACGATGAAACACAGCAACAATTCTTGGGTTGTCAAGAATACTGAAAGATCACTAATTCAGTTGCTTCATTTGTACTAACTACCCAAGTGAGTTGCAGTTATAAAGGGGTTGAGAACTCAGTGGGGTAGTGCTATAACTCAGCAAGAACTTCTCTCTGCTATACTTTCAAAATGTTATTTTGTTCCTCCTGGCTACTCCACAGGAAAGATGGCAAACAGACCTGAGAATAAGCACACTTTTCAGTTGGGATACTAGGACTGTTTTAATATCCACCTCCCGGGCACAGCTGAATACACATGCAACTAGTAAGAACACTACAAACACATGACTATAACATTTCCAGTAAAATGACAGCAGTAGAGCAAACCTGAAACATACACTGCAAGTATACAATACTTAGATAATGACCTGTGAAATGTACCATACAAAAAAAGAAAAAGCTATAACAAAAAAAACGGTAAATTTAAGATTGAACAATAAATAAGTAAAAAAAAAAGTAAAAATAAAATAATTTTTATATATATATATATATATATATATATATATATATATATCCACTGGCTTCCCATTGCCCAACGAATAAAATTAAAAACATTAACAATAACATATAAAGCCAATTACATCACCAATCTTGTCTCCAAATATCACCCAAATCGTACTCTCCGCACCTTGCACGACCTCCTGCTCTCTAGCTCCCTTGTCTCCTCCTCCCATGCTCATCTCCAGGACTTCTCTAGAGCTTCCCCCATCCTCTGGAACTCTCTACCCCAATTTATCAGACTATTGCCTGCTCTGCTCACTTTTAGGCGATCTCTGAAAACCTATCTCTTCAGGGAAGCCTATCTTGCCCTCAGCTAATAATGGAATCTTCTACTCTTCCTACCAGTCCATCCCCCACAGTTACTACTTTTTGTACCACTAGCCCCTCCCTCCTAGATTGTAAGCTCCGAAGAGCTGGGCCCCCCTTTCCCTCTTGTATTGAACTGTATTGTTGCTGTATTGTCTCCCTTTATATTGTAAAGCGCTGAGCAAACTGTTGGCGCTATATAAATCCTGTATAATAATAATAATATATATGTATATAGCCAAAAGTATTGGTCGGCCTGCTTTTACACACACATGAACTTTAATGGCATCCCAGTCTTAGTCTGTAGGGTTCAATAATGAGTTGGACCACCCTTTGCAGCTATAACAGCTTCAACTCTTCTGTGAAGGCTGTCCAAAAGGTTTAGGAGTGTTTCTATGGGAATGTTTGACCATTCTTCCAGAATGTGTTTGTGAGGTCAGGCACTGATTTTGGACGAGAAGGACTGGCTCGCAGTCTCTAATTCATCCCAAAGGTGTTCTATCAGGTTGAGGTCAGGACACTGTGCAGGCAATTCCCAAACTCACTCATCCATGTCTTTATGAACCTTGCTTTGTGCACTGGTGCGCACTCATGTTGGAACAGGAACATGCTTCCAACTGTTCCCACAAAGTTAGGAGCATGAAATTGTCCAAAATGTCTTGGTATGCCGACACCTTAAGAGTTCACTGGAACTAGGGGGCCAAGCCCAACCCCTGATAACCCCACACCATAATCCCCCCTCAACCTAACTTTATACTTGGCACAATGCAGTCAGGCAAGTACCGTTCTCCTTGCAGCCACCAAACCCAGACATGACTATCTGAGTACCAGATAGAGATGCATGATTTGTCACTCCAGAGAACATGTCTCCACTGCTCTAGAGTCCAGTGGCGGCATGCTTTACACCACTGCATCCAACGGTTTGTATTGCACTTGGTGATGTAGGGCTTGGGTGGAGCTGCTCGACCATGGAAACCCATTCCATGAAGCTCTCTACGCACTGTTGTGCTAATCTGAAGGCCACACAAAGTTTTGGGGTCTTTAGCAATTGACTATGCAATTGGCGACTTCTGCGCACTGTGTGCTTCAGCATGCACTGACCCCACTCTGTCATTTTATGTGGCCTACCACTTCGTGGCTGAGCTGCTGCTGTTCCCAGTTGCTTCCACTTTGTTATAATACCATTAACATTTAACTGTAGAATATTTAGTGGCAAGGAAATTTGGATGGACTTATTGCACAGGTGAAGATCTATGACGGTACCACGTTGTATTCACTGAGCTCCTGGGAGTGACCCATTCTTTCACAAATGTTTGTAGAAGCAGTCTGCATGCCTAGGTGCTTGATTTTATACACCTGGTGGCCATGGAGGTGATTAAAATACCAGAATCCAATGATTTGGAGGGGTGTCCCAATACTTTTGGCAATATGTGTATATAGTGTAAATACTATACATATATACATTTATATAGTATCTACACAAAACTCAGTATACAATCTGTTGCTAAAATGCTGTGCTTTTAAACAGGACACTTGGGATAAATTTGTTTGAGATCTTGGCAATGTGTGACTTTCGTATGAAATTGGCATGCTCATAGCACAAAGGCTCCCCGAGAAGGATGTAATGAGTATGCAGCACAAAAGGGGCTAAGTGCTAAGGACTCATTTTAGGGGTTAAGTGTTAGAGTTGTTGGGGTATAAATGCTTGGAGGAGGTTAATGTTAAGGGCTCACTTTGGGGTTAATTTTGGTATTGGGATTAAAGGAAGTTGAATGTTCCAAGGTAAGAGTTCAGTGAGAAGGACAGTTTAAGTCTTAAGTGTTACTTCAGGGGGTTGAATTGTTTTCTGGCTTCTGCTGCTGTCAGTCAAATCCTGTGAGGAAGGATTGGGGGGCAGGGTGGGACATGGCTGAGCTTCACTGTGTGTCTCTATGGATGTGCACACCCTGAATCAGGAGCACGCCTGCTTGCTATGGGGCAAACACAAGAAAGGAGGAACAGACAGCACTGGTGGCGGAATCCAGAAGAGAAGGTCAACATCTTTTTTTATTATGTGGAAAAAATGCAAGGCTTTAATGGAGCTGAAGATTTTACTTTTTTCCTCTGCGTCAGAAGGCATACACTGAAGCCAACATATGCATCACTTTTGAAAATGTTATCATACTGAAATTTTATTTAATTGTATATAATTAATAATTTTATATATATATATATATATATATAATTATAATTCATTTTGAACTCATGTTCTTTCATGAGAGATGGAAAAACAGTCATGCCTTTAAATCAAAGACATTGCAGATATAATTGATGAAGCAAATAGTAAAATAGGGCCAAATATCACACTGATATTTGTCAGGAAACAAAATGCCCAATTAATATAATCAGTGCCTGTGAATGTTTGATAATATGTTAGTAGTAAATAATTATATATATTATATATATATATATATATATATATATATATATATATATATATATATATATAAAAATTAATCCCTACACTAAAAAAGAACAAAACTCTCTGTTATGCCCAGCAAAATAATATATATCAGCACTATATCAAATCTAGACTTAACATAATAAAGTGCCAAAAATTTTAAGTGCAATTTTAAAATAATTTTACATTTAAAATGCATAATCTATATGCTGAGCGACTGTTTGTGATCACCACAAGGGGGGTTGGGGGAACAAATTAAAAAAAAGAAAATATAGGCACAGTTGTCCTTTAAACTAACTTACCGTATATACTCGAGTATAAGCCGACCCGAACATAAGCCGAGGTACCTAATTTTAACACAAAAAACTGGGAAAAACTATTGACTCGAGTATAAGCCGAGGGGGAGGAATAGTGCCCCATCGTTGGTGTCAGTGGGGGGAGGAATAGTGCCCCATCGTTGGTGTCAGTGGGGGGAGGAATAGTGCCCCATCGTTGGTGTCAGTGGGGGAGGAATAGTGCCCCATCGTTGGTGTCAGTGGGGGGAGGAATAGTGCCCCATCGTTGGTGTCAGTGGGGGGAGGAATAGTGCCCCATCGTTGGTGTCAGTGGGGGAGGAATAGTGCCCCATCGTTGGTGTCAGTGGGGGAGGAATAGTGCCCCATCGTTGGTGTCAGTGGGGGGAGGAATAGTGCCCCATCGTTGGTGTCAGTGGGGGGAGGAATAGTGCCCCATCGTTGGTGTCAGTGGGGGAGGAATAGTGCCCCATCGTTGGTGTCAGTGGGGGGGAGGAATAGTGCCCCATCGTTGGTGTCAGTGGGGGAGGAATAGTGCCCCATCGTTGGTGTCAGTGGGGGGAGGAATAGTGCCCCATCGTTGGTGACCCCTGCTCCAGCCTGGGCTCGCTCGCTCCATCCCTCTCCCATGGTACACACTTACCGGTCAGATGTCTTCCTTCCTTCTCCGGCCGCTCTCCTTCTCTTCACTCGCTCGATCTTCGCGGTGCCGCTCGGCTCCTCCTCTCCAAGCTTCACCTCCTTGCCGGTGATTGGGCGCCTGTGTGCCTCTCCTGAGCTACAGTTCCGGTGGCCAATCACCGGCGAGGATTGATCCCGGGGGTGTGTCCAGATGACAGGGACGGCATGTCATCTGCAGACGTTGACTCGAGTATAAGCCGAGGGGGCCGTTTTTCAGCACAAAAAAATGTGCTGAAAAACTCGGCTTATACTTGAGTATATACGGTAGTTATAAAATACAGTAATGGCTTGCACTATGATTGGATGCTGGTCACCAACTATTATTAATAAGGTTGTACTTTAAATGCTTTCTTAAAATAAATAAAAACAAGGTATTATTAAGAGCCTATTTAAATAAATTACTGAGCTGATCCTAGAAAGATAGAAGTGATTACCAAATATCATGACACTTTGGAAGATATATTCTAAATAAATAAGATTACAAATCTAAAATAAACATTTTCCAGCTCACTTTTCAGTTATACTCTATGTCCGGATTTCAGTACATCAAATAGTTATACAATTTGTAATACTTATTCATAAATATTTGAGGTGGCAATAGACAGTTTTGTTATCAATCAGTAAAGGGTTTCAATAAAAACACTTTTGACCAGATGAGTCAGATTTCTTTGAAGTGTAGCACAAGAATCTTGGTCTCCATGGTTTTTTTTTAAGTGGAAGCAATGATCTTAGATTTCCATGTGCACTAACCATAGGTGGGCGAGTGCAAGGTCTTGTCTTTTTTTTCAGATCTATTATAGGGCTGTCAGAATATGCTTAACATTATACACAGGAAAGAGTTGTATATGGACAATGGAGCTAATGTTTGCTAAATGATAAAAGAAAGCTGAAGCTGAACTATCCCAAATCTGTACATACTTTATATTTGATACAGATAATGGCAATGGCAATGATGAGGCTGAATTGATGATTACAACGATGATGATGTTAATAAAAATAACATAACTCATTATAATTGTTATGATAGAATTTATTATATCGATGCTTAATTGTTCATATGAATGCAATTGTGACACTGAATTTAAAAAAAAAATATTATATGGTTAAAAGTATCTTTGAATTAAAGGTTATCTAGCTTTTCTTTTAGTTGATTTAAGGTAAGAATGTAACTTTATAATGTGATAGTTTTGATGTTACATTTGTTCTGAACTTATCAAATATATGAAATGTATGATAAAACAATTGCTAGCAGGTTTGTGTTTTATATAATAATAAAGACTTATATAATTTGTTTCTTTTCTTGTGTTAAAGTATTACTAGACCCAGGATCCTGCATTCACTATATCTGGTCTCCCACAGTACACAGAACATGGAAGTGCAATTATTTTAGTAAATATAAACTTCTAAATACGTTTTCTCATCAGCAGTTATAGCAGTCTTGTTACTTCTATCAGTGTTCAGCAGAGCACTATTTACAGCTTGTAGGAGGAGTTTTATTTCTGCTCTAGGAGGATACGGAACCCTTGACCTCTGTCTGGATAGTGCTGATTGGCTCTGTGCTGATCACATGCACTCTCCCCATGAAAAAAAAAAACATCTCTAGCAATACACATCAAACTGAGCATGTGCAAAATGACAAAATGATAAGACGTGGACATTTGAACAAGAGGAGGAGCAGAGAAGTCAGGATCAAATGACCTTTTTACACAATGCTGAAGATTAACCCCTTAGGTTCCATAGTGAGTATAACAAGCATGCTTTACTGTATATACAGACGGATTTTAATGTTGTGGGTTTAATAACACTTTAAGCTTGAATGCCTATATTATATATAATATTTCAAATGAGGTCTGAAATTTTGCACCTACTTGGATATCATTAAATTTCATTTGCAGATATCATCAGCATTTTACAATCTCTACAAAGAGGTAACGTTTGTTAGCCAGAGATATGACAAATTATTTTGTTTGAGATACGCTGTTACCCAGGTATTTTGTAGGCGATGTACGAGTGTAGTAAAATTAGGTAAATACTAACGATTTATTAAAAAATGGAATCTACACCAGAACCCCCCCCCCCCCCCCCCCCCCCCCAGTAGCTCACTACCTGGTAGCATTATTATCCTTCACATCCAAGCAAAGAGTGGTGTTGAGAAACCAACAACTCTATGCAACTTTCTGTTATAACTTGCAAACTTTAACAGTCAACTTTCCACTGCTGATTACTGATAACAATAGTGTGAATGTGCTACATCCTAAGGTGGCAAAATTAAAATTGTAAGCAGAAGAACTGTGAATTAACACAAACTTGTGGATTTTGAGAACAAGATACTGTTGGATAAATTATATACTTTCTTTCAATCCAAAGGAAAGCCTGAGTTATCTCTCAATTTTCTGTGAATTCATACAAAAAATGTATTTGCTCAAATATGCTCAAATATGTGCTTATGTGATTCACTGCTTTACATACAGACAAAAGGAAGAGGATAGTAATCTTTTAAATTTTTTCTTAAAAGGTGTAGTCCAGTGCAGGAATAATATGGCTTGATCAAGTAATAAACTCTGCAAGAGATCAGCAAGAATCATTAGACAACCTAGTCTCTAAAATACAGTTCCCCACATGTAGTCAATATATCACTCTAAGTATTGTGGGCTACTCCTGTTTACCCTCTCTTCCGTAGCCATGTGGAATACTCATCTTCTCTAATCCTTGTCTATACCATTTCCAAAGTATTTTACAAGCTCAGAGTGAATGACTTTAATGCTTTGCAGCAGCTGAGCTAGTAGCACATGATATCTTAAATGTAACAATCAAAGGAGCATGCAAGATTTTGGAATTTCCGCTGACTTGCAGATGTGCAATGCCCAGCTCCAATAGATCTAATACGACTTTAAACAAAAGCAGCTCAAACATAATAA